AATAATATATTGGTCGTGTTCCAATTCCATTTTTTGATTGGCCAAAAATAATCGACCCCTTAGCCGAATTGACACATATACGGCGCCATTTCTCAACAACTGACAGTACGCGTCGGGAGGCACGTGGATGAATGGGCTAATTAAATTTCGGAACGTAAACGACCTTAAACTTTTTGGATAAATTATGCGCGTAGTAACGCGAAAATGTCGCGTGTCGCCTCCGATTAAGGGGGGGAGATTTTGAAAATCTCCCACAATTTGTCTTTCCCATTCTTAAAAATAAATGACGAAACCTTGCCGGATATTTAAATATTTATTTAAAAACTATTTCGAAACGCACGTGTAAAAATTACTATATCAAATATTGCACAATCGAAGTGCTACTTTAACCTTTCTGCTGGCGTAAAAATTTTCCAAAATAAAACGCGCGTTCCGATAGTGGAATGTGATATAATTAATGTTAATTATACTATCGAATTTTGACGATGATTTGTACTACGACGCAGTGTTTGTTTTGTTTAAGCTTGACGTCAAACCTGCGCTGACGGGTACAGAATTTCAAAATTCCGCGACGAGCGGAAGTGAAATTGCTAAACCGGCGCGAAAATTCTCATGAATGATTGTCGCGAGTATCTCACGCTTTTCAAAAATTGCAAAACCAAAGGTCAAAGCCCTGAAAATCTGGTGCGTTCCGAAATTGGGCCAATTAAGCTACATTTTTGACATTCTTCCATTTCAAAAAAAACGACCCAGACGACAGTTTTAGGTTAACCACCGCTAATCACTTACGAAACACCCGTGTTAATCTGAAAAAAAAGTGCAAGGTTCAAAGGCAAAGAGAGGTAGCGATATGAAAGAACATCGACTCTTTTTGATTTAGTCCGACATTTCGAAAGAATTTTTTCATTTTTGAGGCCTCTTCATTGAAACTTGCTGAAAATGACTTCCCTCCCCCACCCTGCACTGACTATTTTTAAACCACACTAAAAAGACTACGGGCGCGACGGTCCGAAATCGATTTTTTAAATATTTTTTTGAAAAATTATCTAATTAGTTTTGCAACCAGTAGACCATGCGTACGAATTTTTTGAAATTTATTTAAACATATTTCCATTCCAAAAATCAAATTCAAAATTTTTTTTTTTAACAATTTTTTGGTTTTTTTTCAATGAAAAATAATTTTCACTTACAATTTAAAATGTTTAAAAAGTAGATTTTTTTAACGGAATCAAAATTGTCTTACTTTTGAGTACAGTTGTGTCAAATTCGACCAATTTCCTAAAGAATGAGAGCGGGGAATTGATATAATTTTTGAAATTCATTTGAAAAAATTACTTTTGTAATTAGTAGGCCAGACGTACAGTTTTTTTTTAAATTTATTTAAAAACATTTCAATTCCAAAAATCAAATTCGAAATTCTCTTTAAACAAATTTTCCAATTTTTTCATTCAATAAATAATTTTCAAATTTTGGTTTACATTGTAAGATTTAAAAAGAAATGAATTTTTTTAACTGAATCAAAATTTTGTAAATTTTTGAGTAGTCAAAATGTCAAATTCGACTCATTTTCTAAAGAAAGAGGGCGTGAAGGCCAGGAATTGATTGGTCATTGATTATTTTTTTAAGAATGGGCCTGCTAGACATTTTTTGAAATTTATTTAAAAAAAATTTAAGTGGAGCGCCAATGTCATGATTTCACCATTAATTTTTTAATAAAAAATTCTAATTTTTTGAAGTGTCTTCATAATTGTAAGATTTTTAAAAATTTTTAATGCCAGTGGGACTGTCAAGAATTGATATCTATTATAAATGTGTCAAAAATAGGTTCCGAACAGACCTTTTTTCGTTTTTTGAAAATTCGCATTCGCTGGATCTAACTATACACTTCATTTGAAGTCTACAAACCGTGACGCGAAGAACGTGAAATTTTAAGAAATGAAATTTTATTTCGAATAAAAAAAAGTCCCAAATCAATCTCTTTTGATTTTTGAAAATTCTCATTCGCCGGATCTAGTTTTCTCGTTTATAGTCTACATTCCGGGCCGCGAATAACGTGTAAAATATAGAAACTTATAGAATTTCAATTTTATTTTGACCCAAAAAAGGTCCCAAAAATTGCATTCATTTGAAGTCTACATTTCCTGACGCAAAGACTGTAAGATGTGGACATTAAAAGAATTTCAATTGTCCCTCACAAAAAGGTCTTAAAAGGTCATTTTTTGAACATTTCTATTTTATGACCTGCTGGCGGTTGTTTTAAAGAGGTTCGTTTTTCATTTCTGAAAATTTGCATTCGCTTAATCTAACTGCATGGTTGGCATTCAGGGACGGGGAGAATGTGTGAACTGTGAAATATGGAAATTTAAAGAATTTCAATTTTATTTTGCTTCAAAAAAGGTCACGAACTAATTTTTTCATTCTTGAAAACTTTCATTATCCGTGTTTAACTACATTCTCCCTTGGCAGTGTACAGAAGTAGCGCGAATAATGTTTGAACCGAAGTGTGAACTATGAAATTTGAAAATTTAAAAAATTTCACTTATACTTTGTTTCAAAAAAAGGCCCCATTCCTTTTTTTTCATTTTTGAAAATTTGCACTATCCCGATCTAACTACATACTGCGTTTGCAGTCTACATTCCGTAACGCGAAGAATGTGCGAGCAGCGAACTATGGAAATTTAAAGAATTTCAATTTTATGTTGATTCAAAAAAAGGGCCCAAACCGATTTTTCATTTGTAAAAATTCGCCGGATACATTGCGTGACCAGTAGGCCATAATTCATGGTACATTTTAGTTTCAAAAACGATCCATTGATGTTTTAGAGAAATCAGAAATCTATTTTTTTTTATTTTGCAAAAAATCAATTTTTGAACGGTGGGCCAGATTAAGCGAATAAAGCAAAAATTGGTCTTTTCACTGCGCAGGACGTAAAGATATCGGGAATAGTGACAGGAATTAATTGTAACAATTAGTCGATTTTGGCACAAATTCCAAATTTCAGTACTAATTAAATGTGCAAGTTTCTTTAAAAAAGATTTTTGATTTTTTTTCTTTCAAAAAATTATTTTCTAATTTTTGTTTGCCACAATTGTAACATTTTTAAAACAATTGAATTTTTTCAGCAGAACCAGTAGGCGTACCTTAAAAATTTCAAAAATTTATCAAGATAAGCGATACCTTTTTTTGATTTGAAGCAAAAACAGTTGTTTCACCCTGATAATATCGGGAAGTGACAATACAAATTTGTAACACGACTGCAAAAATAATCGATTTTTAATACAAATTGAAAATTTCAGTAGTTTTTTTTTCAATAAACAATTTTTTGAAATGTTTTGAAAGTTTTTCATGAAAATGGGACTGTCAGGAATTGATACTATTTTTTTAAGATGAATCTACGTTAAGGTTTTGAAATTTATTTCAAAAAATTTAATTCATAATTATTTTAAACTAGTAACAATTTACGATATTTATTTAAAAAAATTGAATTAAGCATACTAATAACAAAAAAATAAAAATTTATTTGCAGAAAACTAAGTGAATATGTGGAGCGCCGTTTGGTAATTATTTTTCAACCAGTATGCACACGTACAAATGTTGGCAATTCGAAATTTCAGCACAGATTCTTGAATTATTTACTTTCAATAATAATTTTCTAAATTTTTTAAAATTGCAAAATGTTCAAAAAAATTTGAGCCTGTTGAAAATGATCAACGTTTTACTACTTTTTGGGTACAATCGTTTCAAGAACCCAATTTTCAAAAAAAATGACAACGTGATGTCCAAAAATTGTTACCATTTGAGCACAGTGTGAGATTTTTAACTTTTTGATTGCAGTTGTGTGAAAAAATCGACTAATTCTCTAAAGAATGAGATAAGATGGTCAGGAATTGATACCATTTTTGTAATGAAAATTAATTTTTCAAAAAAGGATTTTTTTAAACGATACAGGGTGATTTTTTGATTTATTAACTGAAATAAAAATAGTTTTACTCACTGTCGTTTGGAATACGTATGTACTTTGGATTTTTAGACAAAAATAGTTTATATCCAAGACATTGATAAATTTCCAATTGGCGAATGCAACTTTTAAAGTGAAATTTGCCGATTTTTTGAAACTTGGCATAAATGAAGATTCGATATTTTTTTACTTTCAAGCTTAACCCAAATACACATATGTAGAGGTTGGTAAGTGCAGCTGAATTAATTTTTTGAAATTTTTTGTTGATATTTTCTAGCACTCGAAACCCATTATGTCATTATCAAAAATCGACAAGTGGCTATGGTGATCGATGAAAGGTCACATTTACGAAACGACGACGTTTTCAAATTTCTAATCTCCGAGGGCACTTCGTGTGAATTTGGGTCAAAATCGAGTGCCTGAAACGCGTCGAACGCAAGGGGGGGGGGTTGAGCTAATCCGCGACTCGGTGATCGCAGGTGAAAGGGGAGAGAGAGCGCTATTTTCGGGGTACGGTCTCCTTTTTTAATTTTAGCGGTGGAAAAAAATCGGGGACACATGCCAACTGTAAAAATTATCGCGTGAGAACCTCGCGGCGACAGGAAGCGCGAAGACAAAGGGAATAAAGCGTACTTCAAGGTCCTCGTAGCGGGAAATTATGTCATCGTCGAAGAAAAGTTTCTCGGTCTAACCCGAAAGGTCGCCGTAATCAAATCCAGTATGCATGCAGCATGAGAGTTTCAAAACGATAAACTGGAGCAACAAAGTAAGGGAAAAGGTCAACGTTACCTAACGCGAGTTGAATGCGACCGATAACCACACACGAATTATCTACGATTCGTGCGAGGGGAAGGAGGTGCATCGTAATTCTAGGAGGCTGGGAATTATGCATTTTCTGAATTGCAAGCCGGATGCGTGCGCGCGCATTTGGCGGGAAAACGAGCGTCGGTCGCCGGCGCGATGGGTAATTTCCGTTTGTAAGTGGGCGCGCGTTTATTTCGGGCAGTTCGTTCACCCTCTAAGCAAATGAGATTGCGTTACCTGAGTCGGATGGGGTGTCGATGCCAAGGTTGGTGATACGCATCGATGCGTTCTTGTCCTTGTGATAACTGTGATCGTGGTAGCTGTGGTCGCTTTCGATGGCGAAGTGCGGTTTCGGCTGGGGGTCTTCGACTTTGACGTCGGGCTCCGGCTCCTCTGCGATGTCCTCACCCTCTTCGAAGTACTCGCATAGGTCACTGTCCTCCTCAAGATCGCATTCGTTAATTGCGTCGTTTAGCATTTTCAAGGTGGAGGTTTGCGACGGATCTTCATCGTCGGAAATGGGTGGCGATTCTGGGCTGGGAAGGACGGGGGCGGCGGGTGTCTTTACTATCGGCTTAAGTAACACGCTGCGGCCGGCGGCGATGGTCTGTTGTTTGACGGCAGGTGTTTTCGGTTGAACGCCAGCTGGCGGTATAATCCCGACCAAGGTCGGCTGAGGAAGTAGTTTTTTGAGTTCGTCCGCTGGATGCTCCTTACTGCCGCAGTGGCCGGCCCACATGCAGTCGTGATTGCGGATCTCGCATAGATCATCGTTGGAGGAGTCCGAGAAGATATCGGGCACGGAGGCGTCGAGCGCCGAGAAAATGTCATCCAACTCGACGACGGGCATGTCGAACTCGAACTTTTTCCAAATGTCCTCCGACAGCAACTGCTCGGCGGAGCAGTACAAATAATCCAAATCGATATCGGCGATATCGGCTAGGCATTCGTCCAAAGAGTCGGACATCGTCTTTACGTCCGTCTTTAACATCTTAAATTCCTAGGTTACTATACTAATATCACAAAAGGTGCCCTGGCTGGAGGCTCCCGCCAAGACGGCAGCTGCTGCAAGATAAATGAGTATTAAGAATAGCCCGCAGCTGCTCGACTTAATTAAATGAAACCGTCGAGGGCTTAATCAATTCTTGGATTATTGCATAACCGGCAAGAACAAGAATGAGTAAGCCACGTAGCCGGCAAAAGGCGGCATGGAATGCATGCCTGCCGCGCCTGAAGCGCCCAACATATGCGTACAGTGCTAGAAAGTACAATTTCTACGTGGCGGCCCACGAAAAAAAATTCCAAAATCGACTTACCTTAAATTTAAAAATTAGAGGTATCAACAATAAAGCACTTTTCCTTCTCTCCACGCTCAAGTAATTAATTTCTCAGTTTTTTTCTCACGCACGGCGTGTGCCACACAAAATTAACAACAATAAGTGATATAGAAACACAATAATTAACAACAAATTGACTCTTCTTCCTTTCAGTGATCAACTGTGTATACATGCTTAATGTAAATAGATTTACGGAGGACGTCGACGTCTTTTAACGTACACAGTCCGGCAGCGACTAATCCGCCAAGCCACGCTGTAAAATACCGGCTCGATTTGCCGGTACGCGCAGTGAGTCAAGTAAATGGGGAAATCAGCGCACGCCGCCGCCCCCCGCATTTATCAATCCGCATTCATTATTCCACAATTTTGTCGTAAATAATTATCGGCGGCCCGTGACATTTATCGAGATCGAATCGTATGCATCACAAAGGTCGACACATGCCAAACTCGCACGTTGACGTTACGTACTTTTCTCAAAATCCTCGCTCGAAACGCGCGACTACTTCTCAACGCGTAGCAATCGTGTAAAAGGCGTAGCCATCCGTACGTAGTATAGGGATGTACAAACTCCATTTCAAGGTCGTCACAAATTATTTTTCGCTTTTAGTGTAAATATTTCGAAAAACGTCACTTTTCACCTTGTTTTTTCCGCACAAGGCCCGATTTAAACACATTGCGTAACATTGTGAACAATTTTCGATCGGGGGCCGTGGGGGGGGGGCTGCTTTGTTTGGCGCCAAAAATGCCTCATTAGCGCTGAATCATCGGAGCAATTGATTTTTTCGGCAACCATAAGAGAAAGTGTGTCCAATTTTTATCGCGCAACAATAATATTATTGTTGTTGTTTTCCGGTAATTTCTGTCGGTCTCTTCTTGCACAATTTCGGCAGAAACCGTGCCAAAAATAGTACATATTTCGTCTAGACTAGACCGGAATGGTTAAATAGGCGCAGAAAAAAAACAAGAGCCCGTGGCGTTGTTTATGAGAAGACCCGTGTCCTTGCGAATCGCGCTCTTTCACTTTACGCCAATAGTGCGTAAATTATCGCTCGCGCCGTTTTCATTAACAAAAAGCCAAATGGTCAGGGCAAAGTATAAACAACAATCGAATGCAGAAAGCGTGGACGAGTTTAATTTGACATAATTGGGAGCGCACCGCCGCCGATCACTGGACGAAAAAATTAGCGCAGTTTTGACGTAAAAACCAAAAAGTAGGCATCATAATAATAATAATAAAGTCGTGACATGCCAAAATTGCATTTTTTTAGTGCAACACCCTGTATATTATTAGATATTTCATTTCTTCTCTTAATTTTAAGCTAACAATCATAACAAAACTTCACAAGTTTTGCTTAAAATTGAGAAAAGAGTTGAAATACCAAACAATATACAGCGTGTTCGATTAAAAAATGCATTCTTGCTATACGACGCCTCAGTGGCGTACGTAGAAATTTATTCTGGGGGGGGGATTAAACAAGTTCGTGGCACATACAGTCACCCAGTGCGTACTAGAAGGGGAGGGGGGGGGGTAAGAAATAGAAATTGGGTTGCACAGGCGAAAAAGATTAGATTAGAATGGCATTTTATTTCTTACTGCTGACAGGCCCCTTTATTGCTTTTGCTTTAATTAGTCAACGAAAACTTTGAATAATAGGTATATTTATGGGCAAAAAACCAATTTCGACAAAAAATTCAAAGGGCCGTAACTTTTGATCTAGTAGTCCGATCTGGGAACTGTTTGAAATTATGGATTCTACAGGCCACATTCTATAAGAAAATATTTTTTTCCGATCGATCTGAGACAATTTTTTTTTCTGGGCAAAAAAAAGGCAGTTATTAACCTTCCTTTTTTCCCAAAAATCGACTGCACCAAAATTTCTTGGGAAAAAACTTTTTCTTATTAATTTGGGTGCGTAGAATCCAAAACGATTCGTACTTTTTCGATTAGACGTCTCAATCAAAAGTTATGGGCAAAAAAAGTTCCTGTTTTTAAAATTGAAAATTCTTATTTTCGTCATTTCGTGAAAGGCAGGACGCAGGTACCTCACCGCACCGCATTAAGCGGAGGAAAGGATTTTAAATGAAGACTCCTAGACAATAATTGATATGAGCAAAAGTCTCTACCAACACCATTCTTGATACATTCACACCACCAACAGGTCGTCTTAGCCCGATTTCCAGATATTCCACTTTCCTTCTGTGAGTACCCTCCTCTCCCCCAAAACTCTGTTGTCGAGCTATTCGTCTTGACGTTCCCAACAAACGCGTCTTTCTATTTTCTCTTAGTCAGTACTCTCCTCCGACAATTCCGTCAGTAATTCCTTTCGTTGAGACCTTTCATTAGTAGACCATGAAGAATAATGGCAATTTCTCTTCCCCCCCCCTCAATTTTGATAAGGGGTAAGAGAGAAGGGCGGTGGTTGGTTGAAAACAGTTCCTTTTGTTGAGACTTACTTAATTAAAGTACCATGAAAGAACCAATTTCTGCCCCCCCCCCCTCAAAATGGTGGTCCCATGTAACAGTTATGCACGTTTTACTTTCAAAAACAGCATTTCTAGAAATACTGCTTAATGAGGGTGACAATACAATTTGAAGGCCGTCTGGCACACCTTCAATTCAAGGTATGGGCTACCTATTGCAAAAAATCTAGGCCTCTAAGAAAATGCTCCTAAAAGTAGTTCAAAACCGCAGGACAGACGGACGGACAAAACACAAGCAATAGCCCTTTTTTAAATTCTTAGAAAATGCGCTAATAATATACGTTCTAATACATCAATGTAATCAGAGAAAAAAATGAAAACCAATGGACGTTAAGATATACAGGGTGTTGCGTTTAAAAAATACCAACGTTCGTTCAAACGTCAGAAACTGCATTTTTTGCGTTTTGTCCGTCCGCTGCGTTTCGAACTACTTCTGGGGGAATAGTCCTAGAGTCCTGGAATGCAGTAGGTAGCCTATACCTTGAAGGTGTGCCAGACGGCCATCAAATTTCGCTGTCTAAAAGGGTGCCCCCCCCCCACGAATTATTTCCTGAGATGCTGTTTATGAAAGTAAAACGTGCATAACTTTTACATACGGCAACCAATTGGTCGCAGATTTTGCATACGCATGCCTTTAGTGGTGCCAAGTTAAACTTTAGGAAATTGGGAGGGAGGGGGCACATGTTTTGAGTAGCACTTTCTATTAGGAGTACAACGATGTACTGTTGTCTCATATTTTGCGTACGCATGACTTTAGTGGGGTCAAATAAACTTTTAAAAATGGGAGGGTGGGGGGGTAAAACATAGGGTGTACCATTCATGGTATTCTAATGAAAGATCTCATCGAAAGAAATTGGTTTCTACGAACAATAACTTTCTTCTGCGACTCCTTTTCGAGATTAATGGGCGAAAGGGCGATTGAACTGTTTCTACCAACTTCTCAACCCCTTATCAAAATCGGGGAGGGAGGGGGGGTAACCACTGACTGAAATGGCGGACATTTAAATATTTGGCAATTTAGTTTTGAAACATTCAATTTAGTCCCTTGGTAGGGATATACCCCTATACGGTACAGAGGACAATAACTCCCGACCAAAATCCCCTCTCCAGGACTCTCCAGGTTATTTGTTGGATTAGGTTTAGAGACTTTTACAACATCTAATGATCCGATGCGAGATCGGTATAAATCAAGCGCTCACCCGAAACTTGGGGGAGGGTACCTATACGATTTCGCTCACAAAACACCGAGTTCATATCAATGTCGAGCGAGCCGAATTGGTTTTTTGTACTTTCTATAGAAATACACATTACTCTCCCTGGAATTACGGCAGATGACTAATTACCATCGTAATCGATCTCATTTTAATCCTCTATTTAAGAAAACAATCAACTGTTTATAGAAAAATTCCAATGTAATTGACTACCTCATTAAGTTATATGACAGATCTATAAGATGCATTACACTAATTATTATAATCCCTTATTGTTCTTTTATACTTTCTATTGAAATACAAAGCGAGTAATCCACCTTTTAAGTCGTTCGGGGACTAGTGTTCGAGTCCGAGGGGTTTCTGTCCATGAGCTATTGTCTCCGGCGGTTTTCATGTAGTGGAGCTAAAGGGTTACAAAAATCGCTCTTTATACTCTCCTGATACATACGACATTTACGAAAATAAAGAACGCGCGTGGAAGATAAATGAGCTTTCATCATGTGCTCCTGATACTAAATGATCATCAACAAAGCATTTGCATTATATAATAATAAGATGAAACCCTCAGCAGTCCATAATCTTACTTCATGCTCTCCTAATACACGGGAAATTTGCGAGAAAGTTTTGAGCGTCAGAAGAACCGGTAGATAAATCGCACTTCGTACATGACATTTACGAAAATCGGGTTGTAAGTATCAGGAGAACAGGTGTTGAAGATAAATTACTCTTCGCTATACGCCTCTGATACTAAAAAGTTACGAAAACATTATTTGCATCAAAAGAGTAAGATGAAATTCATACTCACATTCTCCCCATACTGTATTAGGAGAACCGCCGTGGAAGATAATGGGTCTTCGTTGTATGTGTCTCTCGATACCTTCCTTTTTTTACCAAAAATCGACTGCACCAAAATTTCTCGGAAAAACATTTTTTCTTATTAATTTTGGTGCGTAGAATCCGAAACACTTCGTACTTTTTCGATCAGACCTCTCAATCAAAAGTTATAGACTAGAAACCAATTTCGAAAAAAATTCAAAGGGCTGTAACTTTTGAACTAGTAGCCCAATATTGGAACTGTTTGAAATTATGGATTCTACAGGCCACATTCTATAAGAAAATTTTTTTCCGGGTCGATCTGAGACAATTTTTTTTCGGGGCTCAAAAAAAGGCAGTGTATAACCTTCCTTTTTTACCAAAAATCGACTGCACCAAAATTTCTCGGGAAAACACTTTTTCTTATTAATTTTGGTGCGTAGAATCCAAAACAATTCGTACTTTTTCGATCAGACTTCTCAATCAAAAGTTATAGACTAGAAACCAATTTCGAAAGAAAATTCAAAGGGCTGTAACTTTTGAACTAGTAGCCCAATCTTGGAACTGTTTGAAATTATGGATTCTACAGGCCACATTCTATAAGCAAATTTTTTTTCCGGGTCGATCTGAGACAATTTTTTTCGCGGGCTTAAAAAAAAAGCAGTGTATAACCTACCTTTTTTACCAAAAATCGACTACACCAAAATTTCTCGGGAAAACACGTTTTCTTATTAATTTTGGTGCGTAGAATCCAAAACAATTCGTACTTTTTCGTTTAGACTTCTCAATCAAAAGTTAT